TTCATTTGTGGAGATGAAATTTGGTTATATGTTTGAGTTTCAAGAAGGATGCATTTTTACAAGTTGATAGGTTATGGCCCTAGTAAGAATTGCTGAATTGTTATGGTGGTAGTCTAATATGCCTGAAACCCTTAAAACAACAGCTTATCTTCCCATTGGCCACTTCCTCTTCCTTCCCTTCTCCAGCCCTGGGTACAACTTCCTTTGACCTTTCCTGCCCACACAAAGGAGTCTGCAATCAGCTCCTTATATGTCACTAAACCCGCCCCTCAAACTCCGCCCCTGGCAGACGTCCATAAAGTCTCAGGCTCCCTGTCTCAAGCCATCTCCCTGCCCTTGGCCCTCTCCATGTGTTTAGAGTTAATAAAGGCTTTCCCTCCCCCTATGTCTGCTTCTCTGCCATGCCGCCACCACCGCTGCCATCGTTGTTGTCTCTAAAACCTATTACAGGTAATATTGATTGAATTGTGAAAGTAACTTGATTCTAAAACAATTCCAGATATTCAAATAACGAAACTTAACAAAAAAAGGAGATAAATGAATGTCCATTTTGTATCTGTGTATTCAAAATTGTTAGGATAGTTATATAGTTACGTTCTCTTAATTAATAGAGGGATTTGTTCTAATGGTGTTTGTAAATAGGATATCATGTCTGCATCTTGTACAGCAATTAACTACTAGGAAGAATGTATGCAATGTGTTAATTATTGAAACTGTCCTACCAATTTGATTTGAGACTGTCTCATTGCTATTTGTTTCTCAATAAAATTACGAAAAAAAAATAAAACAATTCCAGAAATCAGGCTGGACAAATAGAGCACATTTCATATCAGCTCATACTTCTGGGGCAAGTTGAGCGGCATTAGTAAGGTGAGCAGAGCTGGGCAGAGCTGGGCTGCCTGATTGCCAGCCCAGCTCCGCAGTCCTCCCGCTGGATAATCCTGGGCAGCTTGTCTAAGTCTCTGCATTTTCTTCTCTGGAAATGTGGGTATAATTACATAGCTCCTATTCAGAGAGAAAAAGTAAGGATTTAAAAACCCATCAGGTAAAATATGGAAGAGTTCTTGGTGCAAAATAAGCATCCAATCAATGCTTGGCTCCATTATTCCTAGGGCAGCTGTTTTGAATGAAGGTAGTCATTTCCGTAAATTAGGTCTGGTGTGTCTGCCACAGCATAGCCGCTAATCTGTGTGGGCTGTGTGTATTCTTCCCGGATATAGCATGATTTGATCTGAGAAGCAAGTTGTTATTTGTCAGGAGCAATATGTAATCTTAGTGTGACATGGGAACTAGTTTTAATCACTGATATATGTAAGACTCTCAGAAACTTTTACATGGTCTAATATCATGGCATTCAATTTATATTTCTTCTCCTGAAATAATGACCTGTGGAGCACAGTGTGACAGTAAGCAGCACTGGATGTGTGCTGGGCTGGTGTAACATAGTTGCATCCTGGTCCAGACACCCTTCTCCTACGAGAAGCAGTCCCCTGGTATCTACAGTATGTATTACAGTTCTGTGTAACACTTGATTTGAGAAAGGTCTGCGACTAAAAAAAGCTTGGAAGCCATCAACATAGGACATAGATTATTCATATTCTTCTATCCACCCCACAGCTTTCATTGTGTGTATACCCCAGGGATGCAACTAATGTTAGTATTAGCTTGAGCAAAACATAATTAGGAAGGTAAATTACTGAAAAAGTAATATGGTATAAGTTAAATAAATTAAATATAAATCAAATCAAATAAAAGATAATGCATTCAATTATCTGCATCACTACTTCTTTCCTCTCACATGGATATTTGAGAGGAGACTAATTTTCATTCTAGGATAAGGCCAGCTCTGAACTTCACTCCCAGAAAGATGATGCTTGGCCTGATTTTTATTTGTATCTTGGGCATTAGCTAGAGGCACTGCCATTTGGGCCAGCTAAATTTTAGTATCAGACAGAGAACCCACTCTGTCTTAATTGTCAATGTATGCATTCGTCTTTGTGCGTGTTTGGGAATACTTATTAGTAATACACTATTAAATGCTCATACAGGTTCAATTATGTGGTGAGATGTTTATTAAAAATGTATTAGTTCAGTGGACTCCCGTGAGCCTGGCAAAGGAGAGCACTTTTCTGTCCAAGGAAGGACTTGAGTTTGGAAAGCAGTGCCAGCTACCAGGTGGTGTAGTCCCAACAGAGGCAGACCTCCTTCAGGGCTCCACATGCCCTGTCCTCCTCTTGCTGATAGCCAAGGTGCCTTACTTTCCATGTGAACTTGATGCTCAGACTTACCTGCTCTCAGAAGACCCACTCTCCACCCCACCAGATCTGGAATCAGCAGGCAGAATTCCAAAGGTTGTTTGCAACAGTTCCCATTGGCACACTCATGGTTCTTGAGACAGTGACTCCTGAATTCAGAAGCATTTTGTGCCACTAAGCCCTGGACCAGGCTTAGCTCCTCCATCAGGGTCAATTTCAGGCGTGCTGGAAGATCTGCCTCTTTTGAGAGGAGGCCCCAAGGGGGCTAGTCAGCATGACGGAAGCCTGAACTGCTTCCCAGGTCTTTACGTGCCAGGTATGCAGAAATCACAAATTGTGGAGGGGGCAATGTCTCAAAGAACTTCTCACATTCAGAGAACAACAAAATCCAACAACTTTGCAGGTTAGCTCTTACTGTATTTTGCAACCATGTTATGATTGTGTGGTCCGTACCCGTCTCCCACATGCCATGAAACTGCCAACTTCCTCTTTGGAAGAGCACTTCTTATCAAGCTCCTTCTTCCCATCCTTACAAGGAGTGATCAAAATATACAAGGAGTGTTGAGAAAAACTTATTATGGTAAAAGATGCATTGTCATGAATCTTCCTCAAAACACTCCCCCTTTTGCTTTAAACACTTATCCTGTGCTGCTTTTCACTTTCTGAAGCAGTTCTGGAAGTACTCTTTTGTGAGTGTCTTTACAAAATGTGATTAAAAAATACAGTGAATGCTGCTGCCAAGTGATGCACCACAGAAAGGCAGATCCATAAAGTCATGATAGTGTGTCCTCATCCACCTTATTCATTGGCATTAGCACCGTGCAACTTCTGGCTCTTCCTTAAAGTTACAGTGACCATGAAAGGTAACATTTGGACTTGTTTCAGGACATGAAGGCAGACATGACAGCGCTACTGAAGACACTCATGAAGGAGGACTTCTAGAACTGCCTCCAAAACTGGGAACAGCGATGGGAATGTGTGTTTGAAGTGAGGGCAATGTGTCTTTCACCACAAAAAGTTTAAAGAATTTAAATGTTCACCATGTATTTTGATCAGACCAAAGAGAACATTGCCTCTCGCTTCTAGCAGCGGTGAGCATGTGGTTGAGGTCAGAGGCTGTACCTTTGTGCTGAGTTCTTGATGCCAGTGGCCCCTCAGATACAGAAGAACAAATAAATCCTGAATACTTGAGAGGCACTAGACCAGAAGCTGTCATTTCTCTGCAGCCTCTCTTCCCAGCCCTTTGTCCCTTCCCTTCCCATCTCTTATACCCTATAGCTCCCATACCCTATGCCAACTGGCTTCCTGATGGGGTGCCTTCTTGCTTTGTCACGTTGGATTTTCTTTCTCCGAATTGCCCTTCATAGTGCCTCCGAGTTACATTTCCACCTCCACAAGGTTCTCTTTCATATTGTTCGTCTGCTTGAAATCAGAATGATTTCCCATTGCCTGAAGGAGAAAGCTCAGACCTGAGCCTGGCACATAATACCGAGAAGAACTTGGCCTGATCATCCTTTAGCAATTACTTTCATGGAAGCTATTCTACGCCTATTGAATAATATTGTAAATACTCTAAGCATATTTATTTTGGTCCTCTTTTCTTAAAAATGCAAGCCAGATGCTATCAGGCTTTCCCTCCCTCCCTTCCTCTCCTTCTTTTGCTCCTTTCCTCCCTCCCACCGTGCCGCAAGTAATTGCTCCTATTTCACTCTGTCACAGCTCACCTGTGAGCCATTTGGATCTGTTAGATTCATCTTCTCCTGCAGTCTCATTCTCTTTCCTTTCTTTACTGAAACCTAACTCACTTTCTGTGTCTTCTAGTAAGCTTTGCTTCCTGTCCCTTCATTTGTAATTTTAGTATATGTGTTGCTGAAGCAAGCACTCTACATTTCTAAATTACTCCTAAACTCTTGTCTCCATTGTCTGTATTCTCCCAGGGCAGGTTTTAGTTAGTGGGGTCCTCCTAGTATTGGGTTTCTCTTCTCATTGGAGTAGTTGTTTCATCTTGCTTTATGTTTTAGTTGATCACCTGCACATGTTTCTTTTCCCCTAAGACACAGCCTTGAGACAAAGACAGGAATCTTGGATGACCCATGCATGCTACAGATAGGGCCGAGTGCTCCCTAATGGGCTCCGGGGACTGTTTCCAGTGATGGGGCTGCGAGAGTGCACACAGCAGGTCGCTGATGCCCACATGGGACTTGTGTTCGGGGGTCGGGGGAGATAGTGCATGAATAAACAAACATGAGAAGGCAAAAGTACTGAGGAGAAAAGAAGCAGAGCAAGGGCCCAGAGAGCAAGGGTGTTACGTCATACCTGCTTTATACACGTGTGTCTGCAACGTGCTCTTGGTGATGCTGGGTGCAGAGGACATTTGGTACATGTTTGTTGAATTGATGGTGAACCCACATAGATATCTGCTTCCTGTGTAAACCATCCTTCCAAGGTGGTTGTAGAAATCAGATCTGAATCTTTTACTGCTGGGAACACTCCTAGGTCTATCTTCTCAGTATCAGGAGATGCATACTCTGGGAAGGTTGACAGATTGTAACACCAGCTGAGGTAAAACACCAGGGAGGAAAGGTCTGCTTCCCAGTGACAAATGTTAATGCCATATCACTTCCCTACTGCTCCTCTTCCATTCTTGGGTGATAGAAGGGTCACTGATTTACTTACTGTCCTGTATGTGTAGTTGTCTACCTGTGGTTAACAAAAAGACCAATGTCCTCTTTTTAACTCTTCTAGCCTTCGGGAAAGAATAAAAGTCCTGAACTTGTCACTTAAAGAAATCACCAGCAAAGTAAGTACCTTTATATTCCCATTTTCCAAATAAGTCTATGAGTTTGATGTCTACATAACAGGCTACCTGGGCTCTAGAAGAAAGGGAGCATTTTCCATTTCATGGCTTTTGTGATGAGCCAGAGAGCCTGGTGAGGGGGCTGCTGTCTGCATGGAGGGCTTGGCCTGTGCTTGCCTAGCATGGACCAGCCTGACTGTGGCCTCATAAGGGGTTGCCACTCAGGCATAGGGCAGGACTACTGCTGTGCACATCAAACACCTTGCTTAGAAATGCCTCTAGAAAGGAATACTACACAAAGTTGCCTACTTTTCCTCTTATGAGGGTGTTGTTTCGGCCCTTTACACATGGAAATGCTATAGGAGATGAATGTTTGGGAGTTTTAAAAAAGGTTTCATTTGTCTTGAGGGTCATTTTGTTTATTTTATCTGCCACTTGTACATCTGTAGCAAGATCTTGGAGTGTGTAATGAAGATTCCCTCAGCATTCCTTGAGGGCACCGTCACTTAGATTGAAGAGTCCTTGTCCTGGCGGTTTGGGCTAACCACAGTTTACAAAACCTGTCCCCTACGGTCATGCCTGCCCGAGCTGTTGATGGCTGAGTGGTAGCATCAGTTACTCTGAGTTATTGCTAGGTCCCCTAATCTTTGCCCTAACCCCACCCTAAGGGCTGGTCCTGAATCCCTCATCATAGGCATCATGGGCTTCTCGTCAGCATAGGCATCGTAAACTGGAGGTTCTAAGATGGTTAAGACACAGAACAGTTGCTGAGCAGAGAGCCCACTGGCCAGGGACAAATATCTTTTTGTTCTCATAGCAGGGAAGTAGAACCTTGGTCCTGGAAGGGGAATGGTGCCAAAGGCCCTTTAATATCTATAGCTAACTGTAATCAGGGTGTGTTGTTAGCAGGCATGTCCACAGTCACTTGGCCCTTGCCTCACCCTTTTCTGACTCCCTTGTTTCTAAGACAACACCTGGGGGTGTAGTGGATGGCCACCCAGCAGCAGGACTGATGGGTAATACTTGGGTAAAGACGTCTTCCAAACAGGAGCAAGTGGTGTCTGTAAGATGGTGCCAGGGTCAGGTGCCCAGGAAGTCTTGGAGCTTGGCCCATGTCTCTGGCAGCCTCCTGTGATGATCCTTCAAAGTCAGGAGGAGGGTGAGGGCCACACCATGACCCCCTTTAGCTTTTCTTAACACCTTGGGTTTGCCAAGATACTCCTGCTATCTTAGTCTACTTGTTTCTCCATAGTAGAGTACCACAGGTTGGTGGCTTTGTCCACATCATTTCTCACAGCTCTCATAGCTGGAAGGATGAGGTCAGGGAACAGCATGGCTGGGTGCCAGAGGGGTGCCCCTTCCGACTATTGGGTGGCCAACTTCTCACTATATTCTTACATGGTGGGAAGGGGCAGAGCTCTCTGCAGCCTTTTGTCAGGACACTGGCCCATGATGAGGCTCCATCCATGTGGCTCATCTCCTCTCAGCCCCTCCTGTCTTAGCCCAGCCCACTAATGCTAAGTATCTCAACATGCAAACTTTGGGGTGGACACGAACATTCAAACCATCACCCACCCCATCTCTAACGTGCCCAAACCAGGCTTATTAATTTGCTTTTCTGCAAAATTAAGGAGCTTTTGTCTTAGATTTTAAAATGCAAATGTAAAATCTCCATTTGATAATGAGATCCTCAGGGTCTCATTTTATTTGTAAATTGGGAGAAACAAATTTCCTGAAGTGTGTACATGGGTATGGTGGGCCTGTACGTGTGCCCACACAGGAATGAGCCCACAGGGACCAAAGAAAATCTGCCAGCTACACAGTTGCACAAACACCTTTTCTCTGCTCTCAATAAGATGCACTATGGTGAGTACTTATCTCATACACACACACACACACACACACACACACACACACACACACACCTGCCATTCTTTAAGAAAGGGAGAGATGTACTTGGTACCTTTCTTCAACTCTCAAACCCATGGTAATTAAGGTATAAATAAGATGGAAGAAATAGAAGATAGTAGATTACATCGAGCAGAGCCTTGAAAATGTGCCTTGCAATTTAATAAGAAAATTTAGGAAGGTTGTTTCCTATTAATAGTGACAGTTTGAAGGATGGATTTGCTCAACAAAGGAGAAACTGACCCAATTATTATTAACAGATTCTGTTAACTAAAATCAGAAACTTTGGACATAGATTGGATGAGACCTAAGGCTTCTGGCTGTTGTTAAAGAATTAACAGAAATATCTTCAGACATCTCATGACAGCTTTAGATAGACAGGCCGAGGAGCAAAGCATCCATCACTGAGCACAGAGTCAGCTTGGGGGAAGGTGTTCAGGACATCTTTCTCTTCACTTCTGGCTCTGGCATCCTGACAGGTCTTAGGTCCACTGGGAAGGTCTTGGAAATAATTACTGTGGACATGTGTGTACACAGATACAGCCTTGCTGGTGTAGGCTGTGGCTTAGAGGCCACCCAACTGTGCCTTTGTGTAGAGAGGGTTTTCTAGACATACAGAGTGGGAAAGAGCACACGCAGGTCCACAGAGAAGCAGTGGAGAATTCCAGGCAGGAGTGGGTGAGGCTGCCTTTGATTCTAAAAATAACCTCTTTTTGGTCTGTGATAAGCAAAATATTTAAGCCGCTGGTATCCCGCAAACCATGGATTGCTCTGGGGAAATTAAATTTTATGTTTTCCTTGGGCTGCATGAATCCAAATGGGTTAATTTTAGTGTTTGAATAGAATTTCAAATTTTTGGCAAGAAGAATGGTGCTTCTAGGTAACATCCTTTGTGGACCATCCCCAAATATATCTCCAAAGACATTTTTATTCCCATTAAAACCATGCTTTTATTGAATTGGAAATATCTCTATGTACCTCATTAGCCTGAGTGTATGTAACAGAAAAATATATAGCTTCAGCCTTAAACAAAATAAAAGATAAAGACATTTGGGAAATGAGATACCAGTTTTCGATTTTTATTATTTTTGAAATGCAAAGAAAAATGTAGGAAATGTTTGCAGTGTTATGGGAAAATAAATGATAAAACCTGCAAACCTGTCTAAGGGTTACTTGTCTATTTTTTAAATCTGACTTGCCAGCAGGTATCTGCCCTCCAACTTTCCCTAGAGAGCATCTTCTAGTAATTAAATCTAGCCTGCTGCTCTGACCTTGATCTCAAAGGCCATACCTTAATTTACTGCTTGCTGTGGTATGCCAGGGACAGAACCAAGTCCCAGAGAGAGGCAATGTGAAAACAGAAAGAAGCAAAGGGCATGTCAGCTTAGGGTTAGGATAGAGGGAGGGAGGGGACCTGCTATTTGGGGTTGTGACTGGCAAGGGTTTTCTTCCCAGGAAACAGCTGAGCAGACAGTCAGCAGGAGTGTGAGGGAGGGAGGAAAGGAGGGTGTTTCTCTCCTACAAGAAGTAGAAAGCAAAGGCCCAGGAAAACAGAAAGTAAAAGTGACCAAATTATTGTGGCTGTGGTGTTTTTTGTTGTTGAGTGCACAACAGTTTGTGTTGCCCTATGCTGAGAGGGTCTAAGGACGAGCTCTGGGACACCAGTGTCAGCCTTCCTCCTTTACTCCTCCTGCTTTCTTCCTCTCCCCTTCCTTATTTTTTTTGCTTTCCTTTCTCCCTCCATATCCCCTTTCTTCCCTATCTTCCTTGCTAAGCTGTCCCTCCCAACGCTCTTTATTACCCCCCCTTTTAAATTAGTGCTTGTTTGCACTAAAATGAATAATTTTGGGAGGCTGGTATATGCATATAACATAACTGAATTCATTTCCAATCTCTTTTCCTCCCTCTCCCTCACCTTTCCCTTCTCCTGTTCCCCTTCCCCATCTTTAAGAGTCTCCTTGTATTTTCCTATCATTTCTCCTTTATTTTATTCATTTTCACATTCACATGTTCAGTTTCCCATAGTGTAAGAGAAACTGCAACACAACTTTCTGCATCTGTCTTGTATCACTTAGAAGGATGGTCTCATGCCCTATCCACTTTCCTGCAAAGGACAGGATTTCATTCTTCTACATGATTAAATAATATTCTTTTGTGTGTATATAGCACGTCTTCTTCATCCATCCATCTATTCATGTGTATCTAGGCTGTTTCCAGAACTCAGTTATTGTGAATTACACTGAGGGGCATATCACGTGTACCGTCTTTAATCCTCCTCCTCCTCCTCTTCCTCCTCCTCCTCTTCTTCCTCCTTCTTCTTCTTTACCTTTTTTCTAAAAAATAATTTTATTGAGAAACAAATAGCAATGAGACATTTTCAAAACCACTTACTAGCACAGCTTCAATAATTAATACATTTCATATTGTTGTCTTAGTGGTTATTCATTGTACAAGATGCAGACAGGATATCCTGTCCACAAACACTATTAGAACATGGCTGATACTGACACAGGATCTACCAACTGCAGTACAGGGTTTCAGGATAAATCCTGAAGGGACTTGACTGACCTTATCAGATACAAAAGTTACATTTCTTGTTATATAGGTCCTGCTTTATCTTGGTCTTAACCATCCAGCAGAAAAGTATAAAAACGAGGTATATAAAGTAAAGCCATATTAATATGCTGAGCTGGAAAAGGCTCAAGTCAATAGCTTCTGACGCTGCCGGTCCTACGGATAACCCACTGCTATTAGGGACTAATCACCCTTCTTAATCACGCACCAGTTTCGTTCCTGGCTGCTCTGATTCTGATTTGTGCAGTAGGTGTTGACTCTAGGATGTCCCTCCCTGCAGGTGAGCATGGGCGAGAAACTCTGCAGCACCCTGAGGAGGAGAGTCAGTGACCTTGAGACCCAGCTTCTGGCCTTGCTTGAAGCCAAAATGCTTGCCATATCAGGTAACTGCTGATGGCCTCGATAGTGACAGCCACCAACCCACCACCTCCCTTTGCCTTCCATTGGTATTGTCATGCTCCAACAGCTCCAGCTTTTGGGGGGCTTCCCTACAGCCCAGGTAATGGGCTGACCCACTTTCTCTCTGGAGGGTCAGTGAGCACTGCATGGGGGACCCCTGTGCTTCTACCTCCCCAGGGTTTCGACAGCAGATGTGCTGCTCTTGGGCTGGGACTCCTACAGCACTGTGCTCTGGGGATGCTCCATGTGGGTGACTGATGTGGCCAGACCTACCCCCAGGGGAGGAAGGGAAGGTAAGACACGCTGATGGGCACCTGTGGAAGTTCCATCGTACAACTTGGGAACTGCTGAGAACATTATAACTGGGAAGTTACTAAAGGATATATTTTCCCATCAATTAGTAGGTTGAAAACCCAAGCCCTCAAAAATAGTACCTTATATCCTCGTTTGAATAGCGCTTTTAAACATTCCGCTGTATTTGTTGTTTTATGTGATTTTCATATTAGCTGTAGGTGAGGGAGAGACTGTGATCTCAATGGGCAGATGGGGACAGTGACACCTCAGGATGTATCTTTTGGTTGTGTCTGCTTGTTACTCAAGCAGTGGCAGCTCAGGGGCTGGAGTCCAGGCTCCCCAGTGTGTGATCGATGGATTTTTAACCCAGTTATGGAATGACAGCCTCAAAGAGTTCTCCGAGATTTATAGGTTGAATGAGGCTGCAGCCCGTCAGCTTCAGAGGACTCATAAAATTTTAATAGAAAGGTATAATAATTATATGTATGGGTTTTAAATGGTGTTTTAAGAAGGAATACAGTAATTGGCAGCTTCTGCTCTTCAGATCATTAAACACTGATGTTGGCAGCTAACGAGCAAATTGGTCCCTGGCGTTGCCTCTTGTGCCATTTACAACCCGCAGAACATCACTGTGTGTGCACGGCACTTGGGTCTTAACAGCTCCACATGTCACTTACTTGGAATTATGGCTCCATTTGCTGAGGGGAAAAAAGAAGATTGAGTACAACTTTGCTTCTGAGTTAGGGTTTTTGCCTTCCTTTGTCAGTATATCTTCCCCAGGAATACAGGTGGGTGAGTCTCTGTGAAGCCCGGAGGGAAAGAAGGTGGAATGCAGGCTTCACAAATAGCCCTTGCTCCAGTGTGAATAATCTCTACAGAATCTCAGGGAGAGCAGATTGTTTCGATGTTATGTTACAGACGGGCCCGAGTTTTGTTTTAGCTCTTTGGCCAGCTGAGAAAATCGGTGAGGCCTCGCTGGGTGCTGCAGAGCTGAGCTAATTATGGCTCTAACAGGCTGAGCCCTTGGCTTGCCTCACTTTCTGCTGGTGCTCTCTGGCTGGCCGCCTCTCCCTTTGTAACTGTCCTGGGACTTGTGCTGGGGGCTGGCTGTTTCCTTTCTTTCGCATCTTCTATATGCAATAATGCTATCTGCGCTGTCCCCTCCTCAAGTACCTTCAGCTTGACAGATCCTGGACTCAGACAAAGTCCACAGTGATGAGGACGAGAGAAGCCCCTCTGTGCTTTGGACTCCTCCGGGCTCACTGAGGACAGCCCTTGGGATGCCCAGGGGCCCTATTTCACACTCCTACGGGTGTCCTCGAGAGAACCTTAGTGGGATTTTTGTCTATCCACAAGTATCTGTGGGTCACTGTATCAGGTTTACAGACCCATCCTGGATTCCGCTGATGGCCTGAAGCCCTTTCTTAATTTGATAATCATTTGCCATCTGCAGAGACTAGAAATAGAAATCGTTTTATTTTCAAACCTAGTGAGTCTTCACTCCTGTTAGAGTTAGCAGCTTATTCTTTCATTCATCTCTCCCCTTGCATGTTGTCACAGGCAGTGGCAAGGAGCCAGCAAGAGCGTCTGCCGTCAGCCTGGAAATCTCCTTGGCAGCTTGATTACATTTATTAGAGTACTTTTCTGCACCCTTGATGATAACCCAGTGACTTTTTGCCACTACATTTCAAGGATCCTCTTTCCTCCAACTCTCAATCAGATTTTTCTTTCCTTTTAGCCTTGTCAAAAGACAAAACTGTAACAAATTTAAAGATCAAGCTCCCTTTTGCTTACAATTCCAGAATGAGGCAACACCTCATTCTATGAAAAAAGAAAGAATAAGTGTTCCGATTAGTTGAGCAGGAAGTTTGGCTTTATAGGCTGAGAAAAGCAAGACAGAACAAATAGTGGATTGGCCATTTGGAAGTTACTTTCCTTGTAAGGGTTAGAGCAGATGGACCTTCCTTATTATGCTGGCTAAAACTGTACTGCTTGGGAATTTGGCTATTCTTTCTCTTCCAGTTTCTTAGGAAGTCAGAACAACTGAGCTTCAGCTGGTGCTATGGGCTTTTGGGGCTAGTCACTCCGTTTTGGTTGGCTTGTCAGGCCCAGCACAGAAGCTCTGTTCACATCAAGTCTTCTCTGAGTTTTGCTGGCAGAGTTCCTTAAACTTATTGGTTAGGCTTTCACCTGCCCCCTGTTCCCAAAGTTAATGCTTCCGCTGTAGGGTTTTGTTACAGTGGCTCCCCACAGCCAGATGCCAAGACCTGTTTCTGTTTGCCCTATCTGTTGCTCTGTAATAAACCACCTCAAGACTTAATGGCTGAAAATGTCACCAACCTTCTCTTTTACCCATGCGCCTGCAGCCTGGTCAGGGCTTGACAGGCCAAAGGGGCTGGCCCAGTGAAGGCTGAAGCATCCATTTTCAAGATGTTGCACACATGTGACTGGCAGGGGTCTGGCTTTTGGCCGCTTGCCACATGGCCCCTCTACAGTCAGTTTGGCTTCCTTATGTTGTGGCTACTAGGTTTCCAGAGCATCTCAAGAGGGAGGAAGTGGCAACTTCTTATTCCTTAAGGCCTGTGCTAAAAACATTGGAATGCATCTCTATTAATGCACAATAAATCACGCCAAGAACATCATAGCTTGAAGCAGCAGATATTTATTAGCTCTTCACAGTCTCTGAGGTCAGGAACCCAGAGCCACTTGACTGGGTGGTTGTACTCAGGGCCCTGTCCATCAAGCTGCAGTGTGGGGATGCCAGGCTGAGCTGGGTTGAGTTGTCCCCCTAAGTCATTAAGTGTCTGTGACCGAGGCCTCAGTTCCTTACCATGCCTGCTGTGCTAGGTTCCTTCACAACACAACAGCTGGTTCCCCAGACTAAGTGCTCAGAGCACAAGCAAACAAGATCTGAGTGACAGAGCCCCTGAACACTTAACCTCCAGCACCACACATGGTCACGTCTGCTCTAGCAACTTGAAGTCACCAAGTTGAGCCCACATTCAGGAGACAAAAATAGGTGCCACCTCAGAGGAGGAATGGTAAAAATCCAGGGGGCACATTTAAGAAATCATTTTGTGCTACCTCCATCCTATTTTGTTAGCCCTGTCCTGAGCCCCCAAGTCACAGAAAAGGGATGAAGATGGTTGCTCTCAATGGGATGTCAAAGAGTTTTGAGGCCATGTCCAGAAGGCTACAGTGTCACATAAGCTGGAAGGAGTCTGAGAACTAAAGATATGGTCAGAGCTTTTCAGTCAGAGAAAATGTCCTGACTTATTTTATCAGAAGCATCACTGAGCACCTGCTAAATGCCTTGGCTGGTTCCAGGTCCTGTGCTAAACATGGCACAGAAGATGGTGAAGCCCCTGCTCCTCTGGGACCAGCCCCAGGAAAGCAGGGCTGGAGATGCCAGGGCCAGATGTGTGTGACTCAGAGAAAGAGTGTGTGCAGACTCAAGCACAGGGTCAGTGCTGCCAGAGTCATGAACTTGTTACTCTGTGTTGGGACCAGGACATTCAGGACATTCTTCTGAGTTGTAGCAGAGGAGAAGAACACCAAGAGGCCATTGCAAGGTTGCTTTTCTCTTCTTCTTCTCCTCCTCCTCCTCCTCCTCCTCCTCCTCCTCCTTCTTCTTCTTCTTCTTCTTTTTTCTTTTTTTTTCTTTCAGATAGGGTCTTGCTATGTCACTCAGGTCTTGAACTCATTATGTAGCCCAGAGTGGCCTCAAACTTGGCGATCCTCTTGCCCCGGTCTCCTGAGTGCTAGCATTGCAGGTGTGTGCCTCCACGCCTGGTACAAGCTTTGTGTCTGGGGCACTGACACAACCCAAGCCAGGTTTTAGGAAGCCTTGTCTGGCTGTGGGATGTGTGGAACAGGAACTCATGGGCTTACCTAGGAGATTGGCAAAGAAAAGGAGGAGAAGGCTGCGCAGGTATTCCACACAGGTTGGTCACTGCTGACTATCAGGAGAGTTGCCTTGGCCTGTTTGTATGCAGTGATGTACACACTGACAAGAGCCACTTGGAAAGCCATGACCTGTCCTCCATGGTGGGTTATATGCAGCGTTGATGTGACAGTAGTAACACATCACATGCAACACTCCTGATTTCATTTTGCCGTGAACAACAGATTCTCTAAGTAATGACCAGGCTGGAACCACTGCTCCAGGAGTTTCAACTATCTGGAGGATGCTGTTCGTCTCAGCCACATCCTGGTCTGTTTCTGTCTTGGGTCTTATGTTGTTTAGCAGAGACTGGTTTGGGGGAAGAGCACAGCAAAGGTGGGTGTTATTGTTGCCATGTTGCTTAGAGATGGTCAGGACAGGAAGCCCTAAGCTCTGTACTTGTTGGCTGACACCCACACGGGGCCATCTGTTGGGTGTATCTGTGATACTAATCAGTGTGTGGGCTCCTTCTGGGGGTGCTGCGGTGTGGCCATCTTCGTGTTTCTCCTACAAAGGACTCCTCGTGCATAGCTGTGCTTTTCAAGGAGCTTTGAATTCTTGGAGCCTCCAATCCGTGGTTCTTTCTGATTATGCATTAGGATCACTTGGGGAAGTTAAAACAGGTATACTCAGGCCCTTTCAGGGAGTCTCTGGGATTGGCCTGGGCACAAGAACTCAATAGGTTTCTAGGTGGTTGTAATGTTCACAAGGGTGGAGCTATGGTGCCAGCCAGAGGTGCCCTGGGCT